CTTTGGTGTTTTGGAACACTTTCCTTAACACCCAATCTCCGATCCTGAATACCTTAGCTTTGACGTTCTTGTTGAAGCTTCGTGCGACAATTTGTTGTTGTGCTGCCATTCTTAGGTAGGCTGATTCCCTTAACTCCTCTGATGTGTCAAGGTTGGACGACAACTCTATGTTGTTTTGATCACCTTTCATAAGACCATAGCGAGCTGTTGGGATACGTACCTCAGATGACAAAACTGCCTCGCACCCGTAGACAAGTGAGAACTGCGTTTGCCCGGTTGACGTCCTTGGGGTCGTCCTGTTCGCCCAAAGAACGGACGGAAGTTCCTCTGCCCACTTTCCTTTAGCTTCCTTAAGTCGTTTCTTAAGTGATTGAATGATTGTTTTATTGCTTGACTTGGCTTGGCCATTGGCTTATGAGTACCTAGGTGTGGACGTGCGAAGCTTGATGTTCCACTTGTCGTAGAACCTTTGGGTTTTGTCGCTTATGAACTGTGATCCGTTGTCACACACGATTTCCGAAGGGATGCCAAACCTACAGATGATGTTATTCCATATAAATGAAATGACTTCTTTGTCACGTACCTGAGTGAATGAATCCGCTTCAATCCACTTTGAGAAGTAGTCCGTCAATGCGAGCATGAACACTTTTTGTCCTGGGGCGACTGGTAGTTTCCCTACTATATCCATTCCCCATTTCATGAAGGGCCACGGGCATAGCGTTGGATGCAACATCTCGGGTGGCTTATGCGTCAATCCTGCGAATCGCTGGCAGCTGTCGCACTTTGCTACATATGCTTCAGCGTCTTTCTTCATGGTTGGCCAGAAGTAGCCCATTCGTAGAACTTTGTTTGCTAGACTGCGGCCCCCCAGAGTGGTTGTCGCACTCTCTGTCGTGCTGCTTCTGCAGGACGTCTTGCTGCTCTTCTCCGACAAGACATCTTTGCCAAAGACCCGTGGATGATATTTTGAACAACACATCATGCTTTATGGCGTATCTAGAGGCTTTGTACCTGATTTTCCTTGATTCAAGAGGGTCGTCTGGGAGGACGTCGTCCTTCAGGTATTGGATGATTGGTGTCGTCCAGTTGAGGATTATGTTGATTGCCGTGACATATGGTATGTGAGATGTGTCGACTGACGGACTTTGAAGGTAAATCAGAGGGATGGTACTGAAAGGTGACTTTCTGTGTGCCGAACCCAAGTTGGCTAGGGCGTCAACTTGGGCGTTCTTGTCTCTTGGGATTTTCTTGATTGTGAACGGGTTGAACTACTTTGCTTTTCTTTTAGCGACTTCTAAGTAGGCCGCCATTTTTGAATCTTTAGCTGCGAATTCCCCGTTGAGCTGGCTGACGATCAGTAATGAGTCGCTGTACACGCTGAGGCCTGTTTTCTTTAAGTCCAGTGCGACGGTCATGCCTGCAATTAGGGCCTCGTACTCTGCTTCGTTGTTTGTCGCTTTGAAGTCACAGCTGATGGATTGTACGATCACGTCCCCTTGTGGTGATTTTAGCACGACGCCTAACCCGACGCCTCTTTGGTTTGACGAGCCATCGCAGAACATTGTCCAGATTGCTTCTTTTTGTACATTGTTTATTTCTTCGAGTTCTTGGGCGGCTAAGGGTTCCAGTTTCGGGCTAAAACCTGCCACAAAATCTACAAGGGCTTGGGACTTTATGGCCGTCCTTGGCTGGTACTTGATGTCGTACCCACTAAGAGCGACGCTCCATTTGCCTAACCTGCCTGTCAAATCAGGGCTGCGCAATACAGACTTAAGAGGGAAATTAGTGCGTACCACCACTGGGTGGGTTTCAAAATAGTGTCGCAATTTTTTAACAGCAGTTGTTAAGGCAAGTACTAATTTTTCAAGGGCGGAGTACCTGGTCTCTGCGTTGAGCAGAGACTTACTGACGTAGTACACAGGCAGTTGCTGGTTGTCGTCTTCTCTGGCCAAGACTGCGCTTAGGGACGTCGCGCTGACTGCTAAGTACAACTGCACTGTCTCGTGTTCTCTCGGCTTAGACAGCGGCGGTGGGGATGCCATGTATCGTTTGAGGTCTTGCAGGGCTTTCTCTTGCTTCTCCGTCCATAGAAATTCCTTGTTTTTCCTCAGGATGTCGTAGAACGGGCGACACTTATCGGAGGACTTACTTATGAACCTGTTTAATGCTGCGACGCGCCCCGTCAACTTTTGTACTTCTTTAACATTCCTAGGGGCCTGGATGTTGATAATGGATTTGTTCTGGTCGGGACTTGCTTCGATCCCTCTTTAAGTCACGATGTACCCCAAGAATTTTCCTGCAGATACTCCAAAGGAACATTTAGTGGGATTCAGTTTCATACCGTACTGTCTGAGGACGTCGAAGGATTGCTTGAGGTGGCCGATATGATCTTTCGCCTTTTTGGACTTGACTAGCATGTCGTCGATGTATACTTCCATAGTGTCCCCTAGTTGTTCTTTGAACATTTTGTTGACGAGCCTTTGATACGTTGCTCCTGCGTTCTTTAGTCCGAACGACATGACTTTGTAGCAGTAGAAGCCCATAATAGCCAACTTGTTTACTCAATAAATAAAATAAATACATATATGGGAATATAGCAATCAAGAGACATGAGAAATCCAAAATGCATAGCCAATAACTTAACCATGACATAATGCATAAAATTGCTAAAAACAAAACATTAAAGTAAAGGATGCTAAAAATTGCAGTACATGGAGATACTCCAATAATCCAACATTCACATACAAAGTCATGGAGCATACTATCAATTGCTTAAAAAGCAAAAACAAGACATCAAATAAACCAAGATTTTGAGTCCAACAATTATTCTCATATACTTTTCCCCCACATTGGACGATAGAATCTTCAACTTAAGTATTGAAATTAGACATGGTAAACTCTAATCCTTTCACATGGGGCATAAAAGGACTAAATTCCTACTACAAAATTTTATACACTCATAGAATCATAACCCCCACATGCCAAAGTTAAGTCTAAAATCAAAACATAGTTGATTATGGAGGAAAGAATATGTGAACATACCTTCATGGTGCCTCTAATAATTTACCTTAGCGACAAATGATGAACAACCCAACGACCACCACTTGTATTGATTGTGCATCCACTAAGTGATTTGAGCTATTTGAAGCACATTTGGATCCATGTTCTTTACTTGAATCATATTGGCATCATGTGGAGATTTACTAAACATAGCATCAAAAGAAATAAAATTCTTAAGAATCACTTCCCACACATAAGGAAATCGATAAAGATTCCTTAAACATATGTCAATAAAAAACCAAATTGAACCAAGTAAGAACAAAAATGAGCAAAACGTGCAACAAGAATTAGTAACTCTTGAAAACTCGCTCTTAAGGTGACACAAATAAAGGAGTAAAATAATATAACCATTGAATTAAATAATAATTCAAGCATTATCATACTCCCAAAAATTTATCACAAGGTTAACACAACTTAGTTAACACTAAAAAATCAAAAATAGTCACCAAAAATATTTCAAGAGTATTAAAAATACTAAAAGTAGTCATGCATTCCCGATAAGAACTATGGCACAGTTAAGAGTCGCAAAAACAACAACCACAAAGGATATTCTCCATGGATAAAATACACATATGACTCTTCACAAGATAATCACATAATTCTCATTCAAAAACTTCTCAAATTTAAAAATTGATAGAATCAACACAAGTTATTGAGAAGAATTATGCAAATAGAGCATTATTATGAGCATGAACAAAGTCTCCACAAGCAAGACAAAAATATATATGTATATCAACACATATGTACCAAAGGTAATAGACTTTGACATTGTATCATACTCCACATCATACTCATTGTAACAAAAATCATGGTAAAACTTGACCTACATTTTAACAAGTCTTAAATAAACATGAACTATCTATCAAAATAGGCATGTAAAAAATTAGGTATTCACCAAATTGCTAATAGACATTGATCTAAAACAATAGCCCTAATATATATACTTACCCAATAAACAAAATAATCCAAATGTTTATAAAACCAACAAATTGGTAAATAAAACTAATTAACATATTTCTAAGTACTAAGTTCAAACCATAAGTATAGAAATAAGAAATAGAAATAATCATACCATGTAATATCACACATATATAACATGGATTATACATTAGCCTATAAACTAATAATCATGTAACCAACAATTTATGGACAAAATAATCAACCAACATTATAATGCCATAAATCACAACTCATATATTTGCCAAGATGATTATTAGAATTAAAATCACATGCTAAGCATAATCAAATTTAAATTAATTTAGAAAGGACCTCCCTTGAATTAATTCAAGTGTCAAATGAGCATTCTCCGTCGTACGCCCACAAATCCTCTTCAAAAAAAAATGCAGCTCAACTTTGAAGCCGTAACTCCCAAACGTGAGCAGCTATCAACGATCCAACCATTGAAAATGAAGCGTCATATGTCCCAAACAAGCTCCCAAAATTTCAGCCAAATCCGACAACAAATGACCTTCGATCGGGGACCATCTTTGGGTTGCTTCCAGAAAAACGTGAACATAATTTTTCTTCAAAAATTATTTTTCTTTGCGCATTTAATCTTTCGATTAATACCCAATTAGTAGCCATGAAAATAATAATTTCGCTTTCAAATTGTTGTAATATAAGAAGAATTTCCAAGGCTATAATGAAATTAAAATAATAAGATCGAAAAGATGATCTTATTACAATGAAAGAGTACGGTGTGTCGTGATGCAAATCACTGACTTGAAAACGAAATTTTGGTGCAATCGAGGTGCACAATTGTATTCGCCGGCAGATTCCCTAAGGTTAACACACCACTTCCACTCAAAGACACTTTTGGGTGGAAGGTTGGAGCCAAGTAACTTATGCCCAATATAGAAAATGTGTTTAAGCTATTGTGTTTGATTATTATTATCAAGTGTATCAAATCAGGAAAATGATTCTTCAATATATAAAGATGGATGGAAGAACATGAAGAATCTCAAGCATCAATAAAGGGAAAGGGATCCAAGAAGAAGGCAAAAAGACGCTCAAGAACTCGGTATCCCACCCACTTGCCTGGACCGGGCGAGATCGCCAAGCAAAAAAATGCTTCTCACGCCCGGCCGGGCGAGCTTGCCCGATCTGCCCGGGAACAAGAGAATTCTTCGTTTTTGTTAAAAATTAGTTTCTACTTTCTTCCGCCAGCCCTGGTAGCCAGGGCAAGCAAGAAATCAAAAACTACTCCTTTAAACTTGTTTTTTTCTTCCTTTATTCCAACAATATTAACAAACTTGGTTGATATCGGATATCAATGGGGACAGCCTCATGATAAACTAATATAGAGTATTTAATTTAATACATCTATTGTTATGCTAGTGCATTGATATAGCAGTATGTCAATATGTGTGTAATGTTTGGGCGTTTGGCAATTTTTATTTTTATCTATTTATTTATTTTTGATAACTTGGGCGTTTGGCAATTGTGTTAAGGATTTATAATTATAATTCAAAGAAACCTATAGTGAAATCATTGTAATAATCTAGCAGCGTTGTAACTTTTATAGATCTTTATGTATGCAGCGAATCCCAAAGTAGTGGTTATATTGCAGCGACATCCGATGAACCAGTGAAAGATAAGTCAGCATGGAATTGTACACTGTTTAGACTCAAATTTTATGGCAAAAAAGTTTCATTATATCATGTTGGGTCAAACTCCGATGTACAAGTTAGTACTATAGGTGGTCAATTGTTTTTGAGAGTTAAAGAAACAAATTGCATTAGCAGTAAAGATATATTTACGCCAGTTGATTTAGCATCTGTAGTGATACTGCCTAAACTCGTGACGTTCAAAGGCTTCGTGAATGAGCGTTACTTGCGTGGTAGGTGGGTTCAACGTCACGAGTACAACGAGTTTTCCGGGGCGGATGATATGGATACAGCAAGCCACTACGAGATCTTTGTCACTGAGACCGGAGAGATTCGCGTCAAGTCTCTCTTCTTTGGAAAGTATTGGAGACGTAGTCCTAATTGGATTTGGGCTGACACTTATGATACTAGTTCTAATAATCTTGACACATTATTTGAGGTGTTTAAGGTCGATGACAATGTCATTGCTCTACGTAACGGAGGCAACAAAAGATTCTGCAAAAGCCTGACTACAGAAGGCAAGACACGTTGTTTGAATGCTGCAGCAACGAGTATGGAACTTGAAGCGCAATTAATAGTAAGTGAACCTGTGATCTCAAGGAACATTGAAGTCCAATTTCGGCTTGAGGATGGTAGGATTTATAACAACAGACCCCTTGTAGCCGCTAATGTTACAGTTCCCAACAGAACAACGGTGGCGCATGAGATTGTGAAAGGGGTGAGTTTTAGTAAAACTCGGGTTAGTACATGGAGTAATACTACTTCCTTGACAGTAGGTGTCAAGGCAAAAGTGACAACCGGAATCCCCATTATCGCTGGAGGAAAAATTGAAATAGGGACTGAAATGTCAAAAGCAATACAGTTCGGACAATCTAACGATTTCTCCAAGGATGTCAAAACTGAATACAAGGGTGCTCGGGACAGAAGCCATGTATGATATTCCCTTTTCTTACATTCAGACAGATGTACGCGCTAATGGGGATAGGGTTACAACTAAGTTGGACGGTGGTATTTGTAGGGGTGTTGAGTCCTATGGCTTCATCTATGAAACTGTATATGAACCTCTGTGATTGTCGATTGATCTGCATTTTTATTTACTCTTTGAGAAAGCTTAATAAGCTGTTTCATTTATGTATTTACGTTGTTGATGCGGTTCTAAAGGCATCGAAGATCCGACTTTTAATTACTATATCTTTATTAATGGGATGTATGCCTATCAAATAAGTGTTTCAATTAATAAAAGTGTGTGATTATTGAAACTAAAATTTGAACCTATTGTTTGTTCAGTTAATTGAAATTGCAAAACAGGTTCTCGAGATTACAAATCCCACAACCTTGATCGAGATTTCATAGAACCCCCAAGCCGGCTACTATTACAAAACTAGCTTATGCAATAGTTTTGAGGCAATGCCTATAATTTACAGTTGTATGTGTTCAATTTGATTCAATTAGCAACACTAGAAGTTAAAATGTTGTATATATATTTACTTATATATAATGCAATGTTTGACTATAAGTGTTGCATGACTTGCATCTAGTGGGTAAAATTTGCAACAATTCATTCCTGCATTTTAAAAGTGTTGCATTTTTAATTCAAGTCTACTATTATTTTTTGGATTAACAAAGAGAAAGGAAAAAAAAGTGAGATTATTCCTGTCAATTATTTTTATATTATTTTATTTTTTTTGTAAAAAATAGCTAGTATAAATCAGTGTTAAAACCCATGAAAGTAGTTCAATACTTAGAACGGAAGTAATTGTTGATCATATTGGTCGGACAAAAGGGAAAGCCAGAAAGCCAAGATTTAAAAATAAAAAGGAAGTATAAAATTCTACGAAAACACAACGTTTAATATCCATAATATAAATGAAATAAAATTATCGAGTACAATATCTAAAGTACAGAGTACTCAATTATTATGCGAAAAGAATCACTTATTCTTGGTTGTCTAAAACAATATTAGTAAAATTCTTGTAAGCAATATTTCATCTTCTTAATTTGGAGGAAAGAAGATCTCATCAGAAGTCCTCTTTGATCGAAACTGCTGCTCGATTTCAGTAGGCACCTTAAAGGCTGCTTCTAGCACTTGTGGTGACAATGCCTTCCACACCGAAGTCTTCCCCGCCAAGTGTGTAAAAATAGGACTGCAACCACCACAGAAATAACATTATTAACGAGTATAAATAGCTTTTTTTACAAGTAAGAAAAATAGACATTAGGAAGTCATCTACACAAGGGAATTTCCTAGTGTAGCGTTCAAATACAGTTTATAAGAAGCATATCAAAATATACAAGGTAAAGAAGGTACTTACTTTGGGGTACTAATGATAGAAAACCACTCTAAACCTTCATCATCAGCAATCTTTGAAACCACAAAGAACCTAGGCACAATGAACAAATTTCCGGACTTGACCGTTGTTTCCAACACCCTCTTACCATCAACCCCAACGACTTGAACTCGGCCACTCCCTCTAACAATGTAGGTCACTTGAAGGGCTGAGTCACAAGAGAACCCGGGCGAGCACATAGCTTTCCCATTGAGCCTAACAAGGTCAGCCACAAGGCCTACCTCACCCACCAAAGGCAAGTTCTTAGTGTTGAGCACTACTACTCTACCTCCACCCTTGATGTCAACATCCAAGGGTGCTTCCTCGCAGTTCAGTACCATTCCATCGCGGTGTTCCTTCTTTGGTTCGGGCATATTGTGGGATTTATCAAGCCTGACTATGCCATTAGAGAGTTGGTTATTGACTAGGGTGTTGACTATATCTTCGGGTAAGTCCCATGCCCTCCCTACAAACTCGGTTGTGAATCCGGTGAAGATTCCATTGGCTCCGGTGAGGAAGAAATCAGTGAACTCACCGCGCTTGTGAGCCTTGGAGGTTTCACCTAAGAACAGGACAGTTAGTTCAGTGTCCTGTTTGTTGTACCACCATGTGACAACGCCGAAAGGCAGAGCAATTGCATCTCCCTTCTTGATTGCAATCACCTTCTCCTCTCTTTCAGGGAGTGTGATTCCAGCAATTCCTTCACCTAATGTAACAAAAAATCATATGTTTACATAAATCATACTAAAGAAACATATGAATAAAAATAGGAACAAAAAGGCGGTGTAAGAACAACATAATTGACTTATTATTATCAAAAATATCAATCATCAAAGGCTCATGTTAAAATATCAAACTATCCATCACATTATATGTTAAATTTTCGATCACCCAAAAACGAGTCTTGAATTGACTTTTCTTGACCGTAACACAAACAATTAACAATATTTCTAAATTAAAAAAATTATCACAAACTCTAATGCATCTGCATAATATTTTACATACAATTTAATACTGCATAATTTATGTGTTACACTCAGTCATAAGAGTACTACTATAGGTAACATTTCCAAAAATAATGATACAGTAAATCTCCACGGTTTATAGAGCATTGTGTTAGACTGTTAGTGTGTTACATACACTCGATCATATTATGCAATCATAATAACAGTTACAAAGAAGCGATTTTAAAGATTATTCTATATTGGCCTGATAAAAAATACGAGTAATGTATAAATAAATAAATAAACCAAGTTGAGTTAATCAATTTATAAGAGTAATGTATATAATTATTCAAAAACTAATAAATTATTATTAATAATTCAAACGTACAATTTAATCAATATGATATACTAATACGTCAAACTTTTTAAACATTAATCATCTTAGGAAAAAAAAATTCAATAAATTGAGAGTATTTCAAGAAAAGATTATATTATACCTTGAAGAACATAAGCAACCTTAGAAGAATCGGAGTAACGAGGAAGCGCGAAACCAAGTTTGTTAAGAGAAAGCTTAGCGGCTACAATGTCACCTTCCTTAAGCATGGGAAGTTCAGAGGGATTCCATGAATGGTAAGAACCGCCTTCACCTCCATAGATCTTCTTTGACAACTTTGGTGACAAATCAAGCTCCATTATTTTTTGGATTAACAAAGAGAAAGGAAAAAAAGTTTAATGGTTTGATTTCTAAGAGAACAGTTATATCAACGAATAGGTACGTAAGAAAAGAAGAAAAAGTAAGGGGGTATTTATAGGTTTAAATGGGCTAACAATTACATTATGATAAGGATTAGGATAATTACTTGGATAAGAATTTAAATTTTTAATTAAGTAATAAAGTAGCTTTAGAGTATTTCATTAATGATTTATTTTTGGGAAAATTCACGTGAAATATGATTTTAAAGATTATTCTGGGTAAAGGCTATACATACAATTGTTGTATGTGGTCTCTGATTAGGGGATTTTTCCCCACCAATCACCATCTGACAAGTGGACCAATCAGGTTCCGCCATGTGTCCGTCACATGGGCCAATAGGAGCCTGTCACGTGTCAAGCAATGATCCGTCCACTATGGACCAATTACGACACGACACGTGTCCTTCCCATGACACCTGGGATAACCGGTCACCTAGGCCCAACTTCCGTGGGAAGCCCAATCAGCCCAAGGTTAACCTAAACCTAGATTGGCACGTTTCCCGAGGTTATAAATACCTCCCTTAATCCTCATTAAGGGAGAAGACGCAGATTACACACATTAAACTCTCTCACCTAGAGAGACCCAATCACTTTAATTTCCGCATTAATTACTCCTTAATCAAGTACTAACTTGACCATCGGAGACGGATCTCCAATCATTCGGAGCATCCGTTTGTTTTGCAGGTACAGGCGTCCGGTTCCAGTCTCGGAATTGTAACTCTCCCGCAGGACATCAGAAAACCCCGAAACAGTCCCTACTCCCTACATATAACTCTCATTTGTCATGTTTCTATTGGCTAAAATAATAGACACAAGTTCCATTAAATTCAATTTATATTTGACTCATAACTTTCTCTCATTTTCTGTTGATGTGTCAAATTTTTAATGGTGTTGTATGTAGGGACAACATAAAATGGTTGGAGGAAGTGGAAATGGAGGAATGTTATGTATTTGTAACTACATAACATTGATTAAAATATTGTAAAAATAAATGGTAGAGAAAGAAAAGAGGAGAGAGATAGGAAGAGAGAGGTCTATAGGTAGACCCCACTTATTTTTTGGTCGGATTGTATCACGTGATGGGGGACCACCACTAGTGGATAAATTGTCATTCTTAACAGGCTATTTGTAACGGGCAAAGTTATGCCCGTTACAATAAACATATTCGTAACGGACAAAATAACAGTCCGTTACAAATACATATTATTCGTAACGGGCACCATATTGCCCGTTACGAATAAATAAGTATTCGTAACGGACAATATAATGTCCGTTACGAATACTTATTTATTCGTAACAGACAAGATAGCACCCGTTACAAATGTTGAATTTGGCCCAACTGATGAGAAAAGCCCGTTCTTATAGACTTGTAGTTATAACTAGGGTTCCTTACTTCCACTCTTCTCAAGCCGTCATGCTCCTCTTTCCTCTCTCCTCTATCATTTCACTCTATCTCCCTCTTCTCCTCACTCAATCTCCTCCATTTTTTTCATCTCTATGTGGATATACGAACAACGGAACATGCATAAGATAGTGCCCTAACTTCTACGACTGAAGATGCTTCGATGGTGGTTTCGGGTCCTGTTGGTGAATTACTCGCGAAGATTCGGTAGATTCAGAATGCAAAATGTGCCGAGATTCAAAATTCTATCTCTGAAGGTGAACTAATTTCTCTTTTTTGGGGGTTTTATTTTAATTTTTCTTTCTGGGTTCATTTTGATTTTTTTTTCTTTATGGGTTTGTTTGATCTAATATGTGTGACTTGATTTGGATGATTTATGGGTTTGTGTTAATTTTGCTAGATATTTTGTTTTTAAAAAACCCTCATTTTGTTTCTTTTTGCTCCTCATTTGCAAGCTTGCAGCCGTCTCTCTCTTCTCTCTCCTCGGTTCTCTTCTCTGTTCTCTCTCCTCGAAAATCACTATAATCATGGCGATTCAGATGAGCAAGAAGCGAAAGTTCATCGCTGATGGTGTCTTCTGTCGACTGGAGATCTTGGCTATAGTTTGGAATGAAGCAGATCTGAGGTAAAATACCTTTTTTTCATTGAATATCTGTTTTACATTTGAGGGTTTGTCGTTAATTTAATTCTTAGTTCAGCCATGGATCATGATAGTAAAAAGGCTCCTGAATTAAGACAGGTGAGACTCTTGATCGGTTCAAATACCAGTAGAAATTTTCAAGGGCTTAGTGTCTAGCTAATTTCTATAAGTTTGTTAGATTGATTAGAATGATGAAATATATAAAATGGTGTGTATCTGCATTTTATATGATTCTTCTTCGTATCATCATCTAACCTTTCTGTTTCTATTGATGGTTGAAGTTGTATGTGCCTATGTGGTAGTATGTCACATCCATTATGAGGGAGGAAAATATGAGTTGAGGCTAAATTGTTTGCGGACTCTAACAAATAAATTATATTATGCACAGTATAAAAGATTTGGCTGCCTTGTTAAAATGATAACAATCGAATTCTGGGAATATCTGGCTTCTTTCCTTTTTCTGATGTATTAGGCATGGTGGCTTGACCTGACCAAGAACAAGTAACGTAATTTAGTTTACTCAATACTGGAATAAAATAATGTTTAATTTATTAGGTTAATGAAGTTTAATGTGTCCTTTCAAAGCATGATGTGTAACAGACCCTGTATATGGGCCTTATTGAACTAATTGATCTAAAGCATATAGCCATGGCACAACTGAATCATTAATTACTATTCTTATTATTATTTTAATTTAATGTGTGGAATTATTGTTAGTTTGTCAGATTAATATTCTTTTATGCATAATTTTATGATAAGTGTATTATAATGCCTTTTACTTTCACATAGATTGATAATTTACAATTTTGTAGTGACTAATGATATCTTGGAAATGATATGTATGCCCATCAGTGATTTATGGTCTGACTTTTGACTATTTTTGAAGGTATGCTATGGATATATAGATGCTAATATGTCTATTAAGAGGAAGAAGGATCATATTCTTTTTATTACTTTTTATTTAGGGATATTAGACCAAATTTCTTTTGTTTTCTTTATTAACTTTGTAACATTTCTATGTAAAGCAATTTGGTTTACATCAAACTATTCTTCTAGAGCTCTATATCAATTTGGTTTATGTTGGCCTCTTTTTATATTATATCTTGCTATCTTTGGATGTGCTTCTAAATGTCTGCAAATCCATCTCATCTTTGCAATGTGAAGTCATTTGTATTGCCCTGTAAGGGCTGTCAAGAAAAAAAATAAGAACTCATTTCTTTTGCAATTGACATTATGCTACTAAAAGTTCTGTTTGAAACGCAAAGCCATTGTGTTGCTGATAGTTGGCTTTTTTTTTCCTCTACGTTCTAGAAGATTGAGTTTAATGTCTGTTTTTAAAATCTCTGTATAGTTATTGCCTTTATCTTGTTGTCTAAAAGATTAAAGCTAATTCTATTGTACTAGGTGATAACAAAGTTCTGCTCTGAACACGTTGCAAAGTATGCATTTGAATATGCTTACTTGAACAACAGAAAGAATGTGATTGTTGTGCATAAAGCAAACATCATGAAACTTGCAGACGGGCTTTTCTTAGAATCTTGCCGGGAGATTGCAGCACAGTACCCTACCATTGAGTATAATGAGATCATTGTGGACAACTGCTGCATGCAGCTTGTGTCAAAGCCTGAGAAATTTGATGTGATGGTATATATCCTAATTCCTATTTCTTCTCTTCCTCATGACTATATCCTTTAATATCATGTAATATACTCTGACTACTCATATAGTCATATTCTCATATGCTTTTATGAAAATACAGTGGCAATCTGATAATACATTTTCTGATGAGGTCTGTTGTGTTTTACATTTGACAGGTTACGCCAAACTTATATGGTAATCTTGTGTCTAATGTTGCTGCTGGTAGTGCTGGAGGAACTGGGGTCATGCCAGGAGGTATTGTCCTTTAACCTTTGCAACCTCACTCTTTTTCAGTTTCCTTTTGTACATTAAATTTGCGTGTCATAAGAACTCTTAACTTTATATTGGTCTGTGCCATATCCGAAGTATATGCTTTTGGTCTTGTTTCTTTTTTTTTTGAAGAATTGGTTCGATGATTTAATGTTACAATTTTATTCTACCCGGAGTCTTTTGCAATGGGTTGTTTGACCTTCATAATTAGATTACTTATTAGATCTTAAGTTTTAGTGGTCAATGAAGGGTGAGGTGGTAGAGGGGAATGTTAAAGTGGATTATATCCCGTGTTGTGGTCGCGATGGTGGATAGTTGGACTTATTAGATGTTCGTTTAAGGTGGTTCCATCCTGAAACCAATTGGAAATTTTGGGAACGTCAAAGTTACACTCTAGCCGTTTAAAGTAAATAAACCTTTTTGATATGGGACTATTCATAAGCCATTAGCTCATTACTCACCTGTGAGCTTGTTAAGTTGAGCAAATTGGACAGCTAATGACATCGTATTGGGGTTGAGCATCCGATAGATATTAAGTTCTTGCCTAGTTGCTTGATTGACAACCTTGAAGAAGTGCATAGGTTCTAATACCTTTAATTGGTTTCCATTTGTTTCTCCAGGAACCTGTTTCTGTATCTCTTTCTGCCCTCAATCTTGCCATACAATTTCACGGTTGGATATCATTCTTTATTCTTGTTTATTACAAGTTGCCTTTGACGGATAAGCGGAAGACATATTATGAATATTCTGGATTGTGGCATATCTATGGTGTCTTGGCAATGAATTGTTGGTTTTGGGCTGCAGTTTTCCATAGTCGGTCAGTACTCATCCTTTTGTGTTTTTCTGTGTAATTCATTCATCAAATTTATGCATCTCCCGTAGCTTTAAGATATCCCTGAGTTCTGCATCCTAAGCTATGTATGTTCTTGATAGCTTCTAAATACTTTTATGTTGGCATCTTGGCAAAAAAGTGCAATTCAAGATTGATTTTTATACTCTAACGATTCTCACACAAGGGAAAAGATATAGGCTAGAACGAACAAGGCTTTTATTTAGTTATTTATTTTAAATATATATTTTATACTTGTAAAGTTGTTATATTGAAAGCTTAAAATTGAGTATACACTAGAGTTTTATATGGATTATAAAAGATAATATACTTGTGAAGGTGATGAGAATATTTATCAAGATGCTTTCTTTAGTTCTTCACATGGGCTGTGACCGGATAATTTTTATGTGGTGTTATGTAGAAGTCTTTCTCTACTAGTGTGTTTTGTTTACTGTTTCAGTTTATCCGGACTATTAGATTAATATTGTTTTGGTTTCAGGTCTTGAAAGTAAACAGAAGGCTTGTGCTGGGTCATGCATTATTATTATGGAGTCTGCTCATGGGAGTGGTGAGTTAGTTTGACCACCATCTTCCTCTGTCATGCATAATCTTCCTGGTTCGACCTCAGGGAATATTGATGAGTCCGAGAGACCGGTCAATACAGCTGCAGGGGATATGTTATCTGCAACTGATGCAGATGAAAAACAAGGTTAGGAAGAGAATGCTGACAAGAGAATGCAGAAGCAACTGTTCTAATGATGTCAGATGAAATTTGCTGAGAATTTAACAGGAAGTCATAAGTGTATATAGGAGAGTATAAAAAAACAAGTAGTAGTACAGTGTGTAATACAAGATTTGTCTAGCATTTACATGATATTTTACTGCAAATATGCAGGTGTTATTAGTATTGTTGTTTGTCAAGGAATAATAAGTCTTTTAGAATGTAATAATTTGGGTGGTAAATGGAAAGAAGAATAGGGGATTTGTAACTAGCACCTGAAATGCTAGTTACAAATGCCCCTAATTTTTTGTCTTATTCGGAGATTATTCGTAACGGATATTACAATGTCCGTTACGAATAAGTTGTTATTCGTAACGGACGGCGCCCGTTACGAATAACTACTTATTTGTAACGGGCATTTACAGTTATTCGTAACGGGCACCTATTCGTAACGGGCACCTGAAACGTCCGCCCGTTACGAATAACTACTTATTCGTAACGGACATTGTAAGTGCCCGTTACGAATAAGTAGTTATTCGTAACGGACGGTGCCCGTTATGAATAATAATGGCCATCCGTAACGGAAGCATACGTAACGGACGCTGGCCGTTATGGATGGGCCTTTTTTGCCCGTTACGGATAACCTTTTTTCCACTAGTGCACATGCTGATTGTTTCACTGAAAGTTTATTGGTAACTCAGTGGTACTATTTATGTATAAATTTAGTACAACTGAATGCATATATAATACCATTATGCATATATAGGATCACTGTATATTCAGTGGTACCCTTTGATCATCCAATGATACCAGAATATGCATTCATTTGTACATATGTATAATTACATGAATGCCCTTTGTTATGCATTTCTACATGCCTAACATTCCTCCCTTTAAAATTCCTCCAATGGTTGTATGTGTATCCGCTCTCATTATTCTATATTGGCCTTGGGGTAATGTTTTTAGCAAATAGGGATAATCTTGATTCTTGAATTAAAGTTGGATAAGCTCTTAATATTTAATACGAGTATGTTTTTAGAGAAAATTGAAATTTAATAAAGGTAGTTTTGAATAAATATATTATTTATCTAATTTGCATGATATATGAACTTAATTGAAATCATCTAAACTTTAATTAAGGTAATTTTGGTTTAATATATTATTCACTTAATTTGCATATTTCTAAACTTAATTGAAATACTCCTCCCTTCTCTCTCCGATTTTAGTTTTCTTGGCCATTTAAGCTGAAATAGTCCTTTATTTTATTTTATTTTTTTTTCCGAAAATTACTAAATAGTTAAATGAGACTTAGAGACTATAGAGCAATTGAAATATTAGATATTAATTAAGTGAATTAGTGGTACTAGCTTTCTTTGATTATAAAATTTTTCAGTTCGAGATTTTTTTTTACAATAAAGCTTTATAAAAGTTTACCCAAAATGTTGCATTTAAAAAAAAAATTGACAAATTTTCTAACCAGAACTTTTTTTTTTTTTTTTTTTTTTGATCATAGTTTAGTCATTCACTCATTCATATTGTAATTTTTGGAACCTCTTTCTTTCTTATTAAGCTCATGACCATGACCATGACCATGACCATGACCATGGCAAAGCTCTCTCGCAGTTTAAATCATATATCTCTCCTATTTTTTAATTGTAACTTGTATACTACCTTTGTTTTTTATTAGTTGACACATTTTGACTTTAGCAATATTTACCTACCTCCCTTTGACCATGTTTTGAGATTTATATGTAAGGAAAAATATAATCAAGTGGGATCTTGCTTGTTAGATTAATCACAATGTATATTTTCATAATATCAACTTTTTATAATTTTTGCTTATCGGTAAATTAAGATATTAATGATTTAATTTGTGCATTGACAAAGTGGATTGCTAAACATCGCCCGCAAATCTCCACATAAAGCCCACAAAATTAGAGTGAAATGACACTTTTGCCCTCAAAGTAAAAAACACAATTTCTTCTCTCTATTCTCTACTTCCACTTTCTCTCTCTAAAAAACTTTCCGAGCGATGTCGAGGCGGCCCGGCAAGGAAGTAGCGGCACCGGCGGCGGGTGGACAGCGGTTTTCCGGCGAGAAGGTATTTTTTATTAATTTTGTTTTTAAAAAATAAAAAAAAAAAGTTCGGAGGCGGTGGCGGCGCCAAGGCCAGACGCCACCACCACGGCGGAGGCGCCTAGGCCAGACGCCGTGACGGTGGCGGCGGCGCCTAGCCCAGACGCCACCACCACGGCACCAGCGTCTGGCCAATGCGCCGCCGCCGTGGTAGTGGCGTCTGGGCTAGGCGCCGCCGCCACCGTCACGGCGTCTGGCCTAGGCGCCTTGTTATATATTTTTTTTTTAATTTTTTTTTGGTTTTAAATTTGAAATTTTATTTTCGAAAATAATTTTTTTTTTTTTGTTTTTTTTAAATTTGTTTTTCTTTTTTTTAATTTTAAATTTTATGTTTCTGATTTTTTTTATTTTTTTTTAAATTTTGTTGCTTTTTTTTTAAAAATTTTATGTTCCTCTTTTTTTTTTTTTTTAATTTTTAATTTTATGTTCTTGTTTATTGTTTTTGTTTTTTTTTTTGAATTTGTTTTTTTACTTAAAAAAAATTTAATGTTCCCTTTTTTTTTTATAAATTTTTTTTAAAATTTTGATGTTCTTCTTTTTTTAAGTTTTTATAATTTTATATTTTTTAAGTTTTGTGAGTTTTTTGTTTTGGTTTAAAAGATGCATTAAAAAAACTTTATTAAAAAAAATTTAATTCAAAAAAAAATTAAAACAAAATTAAACAAACGCAAACAAAAATCCATAAAAAAAACATAATTATAAAAAACAAATCAAAAAAAACAAAAACAAACAAACAAACAAACAAAAAATTCAAAAAAAAAAAAAGAAAAAAAAAGAGAAATTAAATTAAAAAAAAAAAAAAAATTTTAAAGCAGCCCCTAGTGGCGCCTGGCCAGGACGCCGGAGCCACGGTGGGGGCGCCTGGCTAGGACGCCGCCGCCATGGTGGCGGCGTCCTGGCCAGGCGCCCCGGCCGTGGCTCCGGCGTCCTGGCCACGCGCCACTCCCATGGGTAAGGCTTCCCCACCAGGCGCCTATGCCACGGTGGCGGCGTCCTGGCTAGGCGCCACAACCACGGCATGGCCTTCTCGGCTAGGCGCCAGCCACCATTTCGTCCTTACGATACGTTACGAACCTCGTTTTCCGGCGACGATGGCGACTCTCCGGTGCATATCGCCGCCGACGACGTCTCTTCGGTGATCCACATTTTTTTAGTGCGAAAAATTTGTTTTCGGTTAAAATTATAAAAAGGGCAAATTTGTCAAAAAATTATAAAATGCGGGCTTTATGTAGTAATTTGTGGGCGATGTTTAACAAATCCCACAACAAATGTGACTAAGGGTCTGTTCTCATACGTTTATTTTCAGTTCAGTTTAGTTCAGCTCATTTCAATTCAGTTTAGTTTAGTTCAGCTCCTAATTTCCTTCATTTATAAAATATTCATTTCAGTTCAGTTCAGTTCAGTTCGATTCAGCTGAGTTCAGTCAATGAGAACAGGGCCCTAAAGAAACGTGTCAACGAAAAAGAAACAGAGGAAATATTACATTCTCTCTCTTCATCCCAACATAAAATGGGTAACCAATAGCCTTATTCTAAACAATTTGTATGAATAATGTTATATCATAAACTAATTCCTTACATACGTTTGTTTATAAACCATTTCTCGCAATATCATTCACGTAGGTTCGGATCCAAGCTTTGTTTTTAATTTTTATTTTATTTATTTTATTATTATTATAAAACGCTAACAACAAAGGCAGTTATACTTAATATACAACCGTTAATGGTATTAGAGATTCTATATTCAATATGACTTTTAACTAGGATATGCAATGTACAGAGTAGATGTTTTCCAAGAATTGCACCATAATAAAATTAATCAAGCCAGTATTTTAACCATATGATTTTCAAATGTTTTTTATGCATAAATTCAAGATTTTCAGTTACATACCAACCTTTTGAAATTACTGTTCGTCCATAATTTATACTCCGTATTTCGTATGATTATATCCCTAATAATAAAGTGAACTTGTTTTGTTGCACTCTTATAATAATACGTGCTCCACCTATGTTTTGACTAGTTTTAATACTACGTAATATATTTAATATGTATGGGGATAATGGTAAAGTAGTTTGTTAAGATATAGATTAACGACTTTAGAACCGCTAATACTATTATAGAACCTCTAATAATATTAGTGGTCCTTCATTGAAAATTTCAAGGTATAGACAGCTGTACTATACTTGATACAGACAATAAACGCTGAAAGAACATGTATATGTTTTGTAAAGAACATACAATTGTTTTGTAAAGAACATCAAGTTTTATGTTTTTTTTTTTGGTTTAAATATCTAATGAACATCTGTAATATTGATAAATATGATAATATTATGTAATGAGCATTATTTATATTACCCACCTTGATTTGAAGACAAAATTCAAAGAATATTTCACAATAAGCAATGAACATTATGACATAAATAAAAGTACATAGAACTCACAATCAAATAACACGGACATATGGTTTTTTCACTCTTTTTGGGGCAAATATGTTCTTTTTACTCTATGTATATGTTTCATTACATTTTAATAATATGTTCTTTTCACTCTAGGTATATATTCATTACATTTTAATAGTATGTTCTTTTCACTCTAGGTATATATTCATTACATTTTAATAGTATGTTCTTTACACTCTAGGTATATGTTCATTACATTTTAATAGTATATTTTTTTCACTATAACAATTTGTTCATTACTTTTCTATATTATATATTATGTTGTTTCCTATAAAACGGTTGTACGAAGCACCGTACATGTGCCTGCAGGGACCAGCGATTAGTCCTTCATTAAGTAAAATCGCTAATACCATTAACAGTTCTATATGGGAAAAAACCCGAAGTTCGGGTTCATGCTTACATGGACGGTATTATAAGAAATATTTTACAACTAATATATGCAAGGAATTAATTTACGATTTAGCATTGTTTATAGAAGTCACTCCCTTGTTCTATGAAATTTTACACACACATTGGCCTAAAAAGTAGACCAAAAATTGTGGCAACCCAAGAGGCCAAGATTAAGCACAATATTTTATAATAACACAGTAAATTGTAAAAATCAGAAAAGTTACGGAGTACATTAATTTTATAATTGTACAGAATCA